AGAGGGAGGGGGAGGGAGGGAGAGAGAGGGAGAGAGAGAGAAACATTGATGTGAAAGAGACACAAGAATTGGTTGCCTCCTGCACGTGCCCCAACCAGGGCTGGGGACAGAGCCTGTAATTCAGGTGCATGCCCTTGACTGGTAATCGAATCTGCAACCCTTTGGTGAGTAGGCTGCTCTAACCACTGAGCCACATGGGCCAGGACTTGGCTCATTTTTCCCCCCTCATAATAATTTGCATGGAATTCAACTGTAACCCTTGCTTTTGCTCATGTTTTAAGTAAAATAAACTCTCCTATGCTTAGGAGAAAGGGGTGGTTCACATGCTTTTCTAGCTTCATGGCTCTCTTGTGTTTTCCCAAGGTGACAGAAAATGGGCTTCATACTTGATATTCTACTCCTTTCCCATGCTTTTATCTATCTATATCTCTTCTTTGCCCCATTTCTGTCTTGCTCAAATCAGGCTCTTTTCCCAGCAGTCTCTCCTCAAGTGTAGGGTCATGGAAGGGAGCTGAGATGGTTGAGAGCTTAGACAACTAAGAAAACTCCAGCACCACAGGACTGGAACATTGCAGGGCTCTTGTGTTCAACTATGAAGTCTCCTGCATTACTCCCTTCTCTGTTTGGGTTGCTGTTCTCATACTGGCCTGCCTGCACCAGTGAAATGCTGTTGCCAATTCCTTTTCTCAGAGCTGATAGCAGCCCAGTCAGCTCTCCCTCCACATGCTCCCACACAACTGCTGACATCATACAGGTTGGTTTCTGTGTGCTGCACTGCTTGTATTTGGGGACTCATAGGAGAAGCCTTGTTGCCCACTTTTGTTGTAGGTGTTGACTGCAGTTTTTAGTTTTGTTATCAAAGTTGCTTTGTGTTTATGGTAGGATTCTAGTAGACTCAAAAACTACACCTGCCATTTTCCCAGAATCCTCTCTAATTCACTCTTTTTGGTAATTTACATATTTTTAGCTTTCCATACAATCCTATGCCTATGAAATATATTTTATTTCTATATGCCTTTGTTCCTCAAGTTTTTTTTGTATTTAATACTTTGAATTCTATGGAGATACCTGTCATACTTACCTATCTCTATTTCCTTCATACCACAAAAATATGTTCTCCATATTTTTATCTTTCCCTCTTCTTTTAAACCTTAAAATTAACTAGATGTTATGAAAATTCCAGAATATGTTAGCAAAATTAAAACTGACAAGAACCCATCCCAAAAGAAAAATATTTAAAATCACATTCAATAATGAGAAAATTTACTCAGCTAAAAACTACCTTATATCAACAAGAGAGCATTCCAAACATAATCTTCCCATTGTCTTTAGGTTTTCTTGAAGTTCTCTTAAACAGTTAATATTCACTACTAGTTCAACACCCACGTCATACAGCAAGACCTATGAAAACAATAACTTTAAGTCTATGGAAAGACAATACATCAAAAATATTTTTGCAAACGAAAAGCTTAATAAAAATTGGATTTAGTAAATCCAGGATAAAAATACAAAATGCATTCACTTTCATGACTATATTTTTAACTCTGCATTTACCTCTACCAATGTGTCTGTAACCATTTTGATGATCTGGCCTCTTCGCCACTGATTGTTATCTGGAATCTTAACAGCACAGTGCATATCATTTTCCCATTTAATAGGTTCCCATTTTGAGTTTTCGTAAGCAGCTACCATCTTTTCTTCTAAACTACATAAAGAAAAAATATTTTAACTTTCTAAACCTTTTCTTATAACATACAATTCTCTGACCACGTCTTCTACTGTCCACCCTTACTCATTCTACTCCAGCCCAACTGAATACCTCATTCTTCCTTGATTACTAGCCTATTTCCACTGTAGGGTTTTGAACTAGCTCTTTTTTCTGCCTGAGATGAACTTGCCCCAGATATCCTCATGGCTTATTCCCTTCTCTTCCTTCAGGATCCATTTCAAATGTCACTGTCTCTATGAGGTCTTCCTTGATCATCCTAAAATTGTCTTCCTCCGCAACTGCTTTATTTTTCTCTATTATCTTTATCTGCTAAATATTTTATTTGTTCACTGTCTCTTCCTCTACTAGAATTTAAGCTCCATAACAGCAAAGACTTGTCTGTGTCTTTACCGCTGTACCCCAACACTTAGAACATTGGCTGTCAAATGAATAGGTGCTCAATAAGCATTTGCGGAATGAATAAATTCTAATATAGTAAAGATACTAACTGTATACTTTTAACTAGTAAAAAGACTATTTAGCTGAAGTAATTTTGCTACTTTAAAAATTCTACATTTATAACTTTTAGATCTTTGAAACAAAGTATAGAAAAAATAAAACTGCAATATATGTTTTCCTTATGTCATATACCTATTAAGTAAGTTTTCTGTTAATAACCACTGAACATAAATCTTCTCAGGAGATATTACATTACAGATATGTACAGGCAGTTCCTTATTGTAAAGTGACTGAAGATTCTCATTTGGTAGAGATTTTGCAGACACAGAATTTAAATTGTTTACTTCATTTGAAATAATTTCTTCTGGAGAGGGATCCCACACTTCAGTATGTTTTTTGGAATTATCTTTGATGGTGTATCTGAAAAATAACAAAACCATTAGCAAAAAAAGTAGTTTGCAAAATATTTGTTTGCATTTGCTTAGATGTAGAGATGAATGAGTTGTAGCTGTGACTCGCTGCTTCCCAGTTTTGATGTAAAGAGCAATTTTAGTCTTTTTAAAAAAAGAGTTAACTACCACCAAAGTAAACACAAAAAGAAAAACCTAAAAGCCAAACTTTCTATCTTAAAACACAGTTTAATTTTGCCCTGGCTGGTGTGGCTCAGTTGGTTGGCACCATCCTGTACACCGGGGGGTTGTCAGTTCGATTCCCCATCAGGGCACATGCCTGGGTTTGGGGTTCAGTCCTTGATTGGAGTGTGGGAGGAAGTCGATCAGTGTTTCTCTCTCAGTTGAGGTGCACATGGAGACAGCTAATCAATGTTTTACCCTCCTCTCTCTCTTAAAAAAAAAAAAAAAAAGGGAAAAAAAAGCCAACTTTGGCCCTGGCTGGTGTGGCTCAGTTAGTTGGAGAGTCTTCCCATACACCGAAAGGTCATGGGTTCGATTCCCCGTAAGTGCACATACTCAGATTGTGGGTTCGATTCCCAGTTGGGGCATGCCAACCAATGTTTCTCTCCCACACTGATGTCTGTCTGTCTCTCTCTAACCCCCATCCTCTTTCTCTAAAACCAATAAAAGCATGTCCTCAGGTGAGGATTTAAAAAAAGTACCAACTTTGCTCATAATTTCACCATTTCCCATTGATATTTTGTACTCATAAAGAATTTTCAGTTTTTTTGATAACTTGAATATTTCTTGACTAAAAAGTATCAATGTTTGCCAATAAAAATACAAGTGGAGCCCTAGCTGGTTTTGCTCAGTGGTTAGAGCATAGGCCCACGAACTGAAGGGTCCCAGGGTTCAATTCCAACCAAGGGCACAGACCTCAGTTGCAGGCTCAATCCCTGGCCCCAGGGGTTGGGGCATGTGCCAGAGGCAACCAATCGATGTGCCTCTTTCACATCAATGTTTCTATCTCCCTCTCTCTCTCCCTTTCACTCTCTCTGAGAAGCAATAGAAAAATATCCTCGGGCAAGGATTAAAA